ATGTATTAACTATTACCTATATATGCTAGCATTTTTCCAAACGTTCAATTATTAAGTTTTTTTGCAGATAATAATGAAATACAACACAAACTGAAACACCGTTAATAACACTTGATAAATATTTGTCAATAGTCGTTCTATTTAAGCCTATCAAAAATATGCAATTCCTTCTCGTTAAAGTTCCAAAATAAAACAGCCAACAGAAGAATATTCTGACAAGCCAAAGTGTTTTTATTTGTTGGTCTATAATATTATATTACGTTGGCCTGCAAAAGTTAAAATAAAGACTAAAATTATGTTGGGTTTAGAAATGAAAAATAAATGTCCATAGTATTTTAGTAACAGTACAACAAAAGTGATGAAGACTAATTGGATGCATCATGTAGAACGAATAGAATTATCAAGACCATTATGGAGGTAGCTAATGATCAAAGGAAAGAATTTAGTTAGGGTAAACGAGAAATGAGTATGAGACTATAAAGTGGGGTACAAATGGGACATTACGAAATTGATATTTTATGTAGGTATATAATATATATGTATTATATTATTATTATTATTATTAATGTACTATACCAAGGGAGATAGATTAATATGTATGGTTGTGTTTGTGGCATAATTAACTCAAAAATAATTGTTATTAAGGAGGTCGGTAAAGTGTAAACATTTACCAGATCAAATACGAATAATGAGTTCTGTGAGTTCTTGGATGTAACCGGCAGCCATAAAAGATTTTTATGAAAGATGACATTGTTATAAACTATATCGTTAATACTAAATGTAAGGAATTTAAAAAAATAACTTATATTTAAAAAATTCTATATCTAAACTCTATACTACATGTGTTTGAATATGACCAAGTTTTTCATTTCATTGCATTTATTATTATTTGCTTTTTGTTTTTAGAAACTTAAATCAGATTGAAACTAAGTTCATGATGACGCCAAGCAGTAGTCTTTCTCTTTCTAACAATAAAAAAGTTTTTGAAATCTGATCAATTTGAGCTTTCAAATTTTCTTCTTTGCTGTGCCGTTGATTGTACGCAATTGCAGCTCTTACGTAACCCTGAAATCCATGTCCAACCGCATTCACACTTATGATATTTTACGACTTCACAAAGCTCTCGGGTAGTGGTTAAGAGATTAAATATTGCCTAAATTTTGCTCTTTATTAAATAGACACCAGCAGACATCATTAAATAAAACACTAAATCATTATAATTAGTTTTGATTATTAATTATTATTCGATATAGGTCAGAACAATTATTATCACAATTATTACCTTTAATTGAAAACAATGGTTTATATAATTATATATTTCAGTTAATAAAAATGTTAACTAAAATATATTAACCTTTAAAACAATATATTATTTTATAAGCAATATTCAAAGATAAAGCCATAAAGATAACTATAATGTATTACAATTCGAACTATTTGATTCTAGTTTTTAACATAAATATGTTTTTGTGCTGGATACAAGAGTTTTTGTACCTGACCGATTTTTCGTAAGGGTTTTGTTTTCATGGTTATTAATTTAACAAAAACATATTTATGATTCATAGATTTTCCTTGTGGAGGAAAAATTTCGAGTAGCTTAATATTTTCCTTCTATAAAGTATAAATAGGACATCAAAATAACAAATACATATTTCTAAAAAATTTAAATATATGTTTTCCAAGAACTTCTTAAATAGAGTTTAAATTTCAATGATACAATTTTGTTAACAAATTTGACTTATATATAAATACAGTTTCTTTTTATCTTCAAAATATTAACTGCAGTGCATAAATATGAATTACAATATATTAGATATAATGTAAAGTATAGGTACCTATTTTTATTATAAACAATATTGATTATTGATAAATTATAAAATTGAACTTTTTTTTAAATACCAGTGTTTTATGTCTTATATCGAGGGAAATACACCGGAGTCAAACTCAATGTTTCAAATTATCTTTATCATAGAGCACATATTATTGATGCATTATCTTTATTTTTAACAATGAGATGCCTATTAATTAGTATATCAAGTAAACAAAATATTAACCTTTGAAATATAACTAAATTATATCATAATTGATAATTATTATTTACATAATATTATAATATGCTTATAAAAATAAATGAGCAATGACATTGATATCTACATCTGTAGGTGTCAAAGATCAAAACCGAGGATAAAACTTATATAAAAGTACTACGTGCCATAAGTTCTGATGATTTTATAAACAGTTAACCTGTGTGTGTACTTTCCGTCACTGAACAAATATTATAACTGTAAAGGATTAAAGACTTATTTCTTTAACAAGCATGCAAAGATTAAAGAATTTGCAGAATAGGTACATAAAAAAATTACCTAATATGCACTAAGAAACTACCGAATTTCTATTAAAATAAAAAAAAAAAGGTTCAACTGAATTATATTTAAATTGTTATTTACTAGGTATTTATTTCTTATATAATTTATTCTCTTTGTATAATTATACTGCTTCCATATTAAGGTCATCCGTTCCTAGAAACAAAGTCATAAGTCCATACACCTACACAGATTTCATCGTCGGTGAGAAGCACAAAGCTATTATCAGGAACGAAAAGGGCACAATATTTATACAATATATAGATAATATAATTTTATGTTAAATTTTAATAATTTTTTGCAGAATAATTAGTATTAATAAGCTAAATAAAAATGTATACTTTAATGAGCGAAAAACCTTAGAATATACCAAATAATTGGTTGATTGTGAATTTAGATTACTTATAAGTTATAACACATTCTACACACGTTTTTATTTGACTTGGCCGTTCCCTACCTATATCAATGGCTATATAGTATATATATATATATATAAAAAAAAAATTAAATATTTTTGAAGTAGCTTTTAAGCCTACATGAAAATAAAAATTAACATGAAAAACAAAAATGCAATATTTGTGGGTAAGTAAGTATTAAAGTTGAATGCGTTCTAGTGTTAAATTGTATTAGCGTTGGATCATTAAAAATTATAACTATAATAATAATGTATATAATGACACGTATTATGTGTTAAAGTAAATTACATTTTTTCTAACATACCATGCAAGTACTTCATGATTTACACTGATATTCAATATGCTAGTTGCCAGTTTGATCTTATATAATATTATATGTAAACCAGTGGCGGTCAAATGAGGAGAGATGAGGGTGATAGATCCCCATGGGCCATGACCTTATGTTTCAAAAGCTGTTTAAGAGATGATAACTTTATATTATATTGTTTAATAGTCAAATAGTGCATGTTAAAAAATCAGCCATATCCCACCTTGACAAAATCATTTTTTGACCGCCACTGATGTAAACAATGTCGTATCTTTTAATATCATAATATTGTTTAATTTATTTCTTATTTACGTGTGTGTATGTAATGTGTTTGCAGCATGACGTACACCGTGTACCTATACGTGTCGGTTTCGGTTTGTAAGTTTCCGCGATCCATTCACGCTGTGCACCCCGTCGCCGCTGGTTTAAAAACAAAACGATTTTTAAAACACTCGGACCCGGTTGTAAGTCATCGCGGCAGACAATAATAACTTACCGCGGCCGTAAGCACCTTTATATAATACAATAAATGTATCCATTAGTATGAGATTTGTCATCGATAAAGATAATAATAACAAATGAAATTACAATAGTAATAGGCACTGCTAACACTATTATGATATACTTCTCTTTTCAGATATTATATTCATATTATAATACATACAATATATATATTACAATACTATATATTATTATGTTTCAAATGGTTGTCGAAGACAATAATTACACGGGAACCGTTCAAACAATGGTCGGAGAGCTGCCAGCTGATTATGTTTTTGCCGGTTACTAACCTTTGGAAATAACACAACACAATCACTATATACCTAAGAATAATAATATACACTATACTATCATATTATTAAATATATAATATACACTGCGTATGTCTTATATATATTGAACATAATCATAAACTAATGTCGAACGTGTCCATTCATCGTGGGTTTCGTAACTCATTAGATACTACTCTTAAGGTAATAACACACTAGGCGATTTGAACGCGCGTCTCCGCGCGTTTCGAACATCGCGATTTTAAGACGCGAACGCGCGCTCCTTACACATTAGACGCGTGTCGACGCGTCTGTCAACGTTTTAAAATCGCGCTGCGCTTTCACACTGGACGATTTGTGAGCGTTTTTCAAAAATAAAATAGCGCCAAATGTTATTTGAACCACTCAATTATTTGTATTTTGTTGTAGACTAGGTTAGTACTGTTGTTACCGTTCACCGTATATGACTGCGGTTCATTTCTTATTTAACTTTTCGTTGTTTTCGTTTAATTTTTTTTAATATGGAAGTGTTAGACGATATAGAAGCTGCATGCGTTTTGTTTGCATTATATGAGGAACATGAAAGTAAAAAACAGAAACCAAATAAAGTAAAAAGACGACATTGGGTCCATCCACTTAATCTGAAAAGACCAGAAAATGGCCAGTTCCAGGTTACATTTATGACTCTGCGTAGCTATCCAGAAGAGTTTATGAAGTATTATCGTATGTCGATAACATCGTTTGATGAGTTGGTAAGTAGAAATAAGTCATTTTTAAGTAACAATAAAAATAAAAATATTTTTTTTAAATTTATTTAATGTTTTATATTATGTTACAAATACTCATTACCTACCACTTTTGAATACCTTGTTTTTCGTCTATCTATAATAAATTAACAAATATCTGTGTGGCGTCTTCTTAACAAAATATAATAATAATTAAATTGTTATTTAAGATATCGCTGGTAGGACCGAAATTGTCAAAACAGCATACTGGTTTGCGTGTGCCAATATCACCGGAAGAGCGATTGACCGTGACACTGAGGTAGATAATTTTTAAATACAAATTAAGAATGTAGACATTTGTATTTTTAATTTTTAATTTATTAAATTATGTTTTAAATAGGTACAGGTACACTTAATTTTTAATAATTATAGTAATGGTTTTGTTTTTGAGCAGAACGAATTTCAGTAGAGGGTGACTGTGGAACATAGTTTAATTCATCATTCACTCTTTGTGGAGAAGTAATAGTAGTATTGTTTATCATAGTTGTAGGCACATTTTGGGAAGCATATTGATGAGGAGTAATATTAAAATGTGGCATGTGTGATAGTGGTGTTTGATGAGAAATAGATGAAGATACACTTTGAGGATTATTATTTGTGGTGTAATAGTGTTGAGGGGGGAATGGGGAGTAAGGTTGATTATTTGGTGTATTATAAGGATAAGTAGGGGTTACAGAGCAGTTTTTTACTCGTTGTATGGCATTTAAAAATTCAACATACAGCCGAGTTTTTTGGTCTTCGTCCAACGATTTAATTTGAGGGAGTAATGACAACAAAAAAGATTTTTCCGGGTCTTCTGGTATTTTTTGGCGGTTTTCTAATATTTTCAACAAAGAGGATCCAAAATTCGATGTCGCAGTCTTCTTTGGATTTTTTTTCAATTTTTTATTTGGTGGTCGTGCACATGGCTCCTCTGCATCGGAATTGGCCATGATCTCTTCTGCAGTAATATTGTTCCCAACAACTAAATCCACATCTTCAGTCTCCCCACTTTCACCCACAGATACCTCGTCTTCGCTTGACTGTATATTACTTTCAGTCCTTTAAAAATATAATTTTATATAATTCATAATTTAGTTAATTGGATTATGTTTAATACTAATATATATAAATATACAGTGCTCGAATTGGAAAAAATAAAAGAAAGGGGGTCCAAAACTTAAAAAAAATTAGCGTTCCTGACAATGATTAATCTTAACCTAACCCGTGGGGATACCCACCTACCACACCACCACCCACCAACAACAACATTAGAAAATAAATAATACACCAATGTCCAATACCAATAACATTTACCAACAATCAATAAATATTCTTTTACTTCTCATTTATTAAAATAAAAATTAATGTTACACATTATTAACACAATTTAATTTTCGGAAAAATGTGTCATTTTATGTGTTAAAGACGATAAAAGTATCAGAATTACAATAAACCTTTAGTTTTTTAAATATTAAAAATCTTTAAAATTATATTTTTGTTGAACGGCGCATCATGGCGATTTAAATATAAATTAAAAATTTTAAAATATCTCTTTTAATATTTAAAAAATTAAACGTTATATTAAAATTCTGATACTTGTATCGTCTTAAACTCATAAAATCACACATTTAGACGTAAATTAAATTTCAAAAATAAAATGTTTAGGTTGGTAAATCGTTGGGTGAAGTGAGGAACTTTTACACGTATAATAGATAGGAAATTACGATGAGACAGGCCCAATGACGCCTCGCGTCTTTTTTCAATTACTAATAACTTATTATCAATTATCATAAAAAACAAAACCATACATTTAGTTTTAACATCTTATTGAATAGGTATACACAGCTTCACGAAGGCACGAAATAAAAAATACAATATTATTTCAACAAGATAAAACGTTCCATCCCCCAGTTCTAAAGAAAATAATTAGAAGGAATGCGCTTAAAATATAAAAAAATTAAAGAGGAGCTCCGTACCCTTGCGTCCCCTCCCCCAATTCGAGCAATGCCTATAAAACTATAACATTTCATTCTATATACTTTTAAGGTGCCTACTTAATATTTATAATATGTGTGTGTGTTTGTTCGAAAACAGGCACATTTTTAGTATCATTTACGCAAAATTGGATTTCGACAAAATCGATTTTGATTTTTGGTGTAATTCTAAAACAAATGACCATAGATACATGAACATTTCACTGAATGTTTATATTAGCATATGCTATACACCATAATATTTTCTAAATATTTTGTTTTGTTTTGAGTTGTTTACGGACATTTTCAGTTTCCAATTTTTTTAGTTTTTATTTCCATAGATATCAATAAAAAATTATTCTTTGGTCAAAAAGCTTAACATTTTATAAAAGACTTCTAATTTTACAGTAACCGAAAAATATTAAAAATACATATTAATATATTATGCACAATTCTTTTTACAAGTATTTAAAGTTAGAATTTTGACAACATTTATAAAATTTAAAATTTAAAAACGATTTTGTAGTTAAAAATGTATTTATTTTGTCTGAGATTACTTACGTTCGATTTTGCATGGTTGGTCTTAAAAATTCTAGTACATTGGCATATATGTACGGCTTAGATCTTGTTGCTGCTTGCCCAGATTTGGTGATGCATTTACGACGGTAACTATCCCTTAAAGATTTCCATTTTTTCTGTAATTCTGCTACTATAAAAATAATAAATAAAAATTGAATAATACAACTATACATATAATCAGTTTTAAATTAATTTGATATAATTTAATATATACAAATTTATATTTATTTATATCTAACCTATAGCTACTATCATAAAAGTATGCAAATTTACTTATAGTAAATAAATCGTAGAAAATAATTAAAATAATTATATCATAATATACATGAAACGGGTGATAGATGATAAGACGTACCTACTAAAAATGTTTGATAAGTATAGAGCACTAAGAATCAAACATCTTCATAACAATATAATATACTGTTCGTTAAAACATACTTTTAAAGCAATAATCTGTATTTAATTATTCAGGTATTTGGCAACTGGAACTAATTTTTCTGCTCTCCATTTTGATTTCCTAATGGGCGTGTCAACAATTGGAAAAATTGTACGTGAGACATGTGAAGTATTGTGGACAATTCTTCAGCCTAAAGAAATGGTAGAGCCGACAATGCAAGATTGGTTAGACATAGCAGAGGGGTTTTATAGTAAAACTCAATTTCCAAACTGTGTGGGGGCCGTAGACGGGAAACACATTCAACTAGAATGCCCCCCTAAAAGTGGTACCTTATACTACAACTATAAGCATTTCTTCTCCATAATACTCATGGCAATCTGTGATGCAAACTATTGCTTCACGATTATAGATGTGGGGTCGTATGGCAAGGAGAGCGATTGCAACATTTTTAAGAAATCGTCATTTGGAAAAAAATTATACAACGAAAAAGTCAATTTTCCCCAACCTCAGTGTTTACCAGAAGATGATGGTGGTATTCCTCAACCTTACGTAATAGTAGGTGATGAAGCGTTTGCTCTTCATAGAAACCTTTTACGCCCTTTCCCCGGAAGAAGCCTAAACAATGAACGGCGTATATTTAATTATCGTTTGTCAAGGGCAAGACAGAATATAGAGTGTACGTTCGGTATTTTGTCTAACAAATGGAGGGTTTTCCATACGGCCTTATTAGTAGAACCAGACTTTGGAGTTGCTATTACCAAAGCGTGTTGTGTTTTGCACAATTTCGTTCGACGCAGAGATGGATATTGCCCCGAAGATACACAGACTTGTGATATGGAGGATGCAAATGAAAAAGTAGGGGTTGGGAACTCTACATCGGTTGCAAAAGACGTAAGAGACTATTTTGTCAACTATTTCAATCAACCGATTCATGCATTAAGTTGGCAAAACAAAGTGATAGGCTAATATAATGAGGATAATATTATGCAATATAAATGTGTACCTATCATATTTATATTACCTATAACTATACTTATATTATTATTTATAATATTTAAAAAAAATTTTTTTTTTTTAATATGTTATTTATGAATTAAAAATATTGTCATTTGCACTGAATATTAAATAAAACTTACAAGTTACAACATAATATATTTTATGCTTACTTTTTTTGCTTTTAATAATGTCCTCAAGCTCGTCGAAATCTGCAATAGAAGCTCTGGCCACCTTGGTCCAGCTTACATGTTTGGCATTCTTATCATGGTATAACTTATTTTCTATAAATTGAATATGTAATATTAATTATTATGATGAATGACGTTTTACGTAAGTATTACACTGTATACAAACTCAGAATAACTAAGTTAGTTAGATTCTAAATTAAAATAATTGAATATGTTAATGAAAAGAACTTACCTATATTCCATATAGATTCCTCATTCGATACCTCATTAATAAATAATTCGTTGTCAAACATATTTGACAATTTTAAAATACGTAGGTTCAAATATGTAAATACTAAATAATTAACAACCAACTAGCAGAGTAAGATTACCGTGGTAAACTTAAGTGGCAACAACTGTAACTTAGTAATATTATCGAACTTCGTTAACTATACGTACTATAACTGTCGTAGACAAATTATGAATGAACGTAAATAAACGCGGGTCAATCGTGGCGTCCGAATCGCCCGTGTGTTATCAAAAATAGAAATGCATTGAAAATGCATTGGAAAAATATTGTTTAATTTTAGCTGAAGATCGCGATCGAACGCTCAAAATTAAACAAGTACGTTTCGGCGCGTTCGAACGCGACCGAACGCGACCGAACGCGCGTCTCATTTACGTGTGTGAATAAGCCCATATAAAAGTATATGTTTAATTTTGGGCGATTAATCGCGACGTTCAAAACGCGCGGAGACGCGCGTTCAAATCGCCTAGTGTGTAATCCACTTTATTGTAAATCAAACACGCGCACGTCACGGCCGTTCTTCAAAGAAACAATGTATAATATTATACACGGATGTGTATACAATTTTATTATTTATATTACTAAAACACATATCATATTGAATCAATGATTTCCCTTAAATTAAACTTATTTTTCGATTTTTTATATTCGGTCGAAAAGCTAGAACATAAGTTGTTCTTATATAGAATTTAGAACAAATCGTAAATCCATGGCTAACATTTTTTTTTATAAATTTTTGAAAACCAAAAAATACGAACATTTTGATATTATTTTGTCATTATGAATTGATAAAATATTCAATTACAACAGATAAACCCGAAAACTTAATACAATGTTATGCATTTGTGGTTTTTACCACCATTCAAAACATCAACTTCTTCAATTAATATATAATAATATATTGTAGGTACCTGTAGGTAATTATAAGAAAATCGTTTAAATAATTATTTACTTAACATATAAAAATATACTATAACAATTTGTCTGACTTTAGAAAATACAAATAATGCAACATGTATTTTCCATACATATTTGAAATTCACTTTTTGTCAAAATTGAGTATTTAATATTTATACAAAATATAATTATTTTAGTTATTTTGTAGTGATTTCAAAAAGAAATTATTCGAGGGCTCGCCAGGGATTTTTTTGAGAATTTGTTAGTCTTATATTATTATTATAGATTATTATTTACATTATAAAGGTACACAATGATATTTTCTTGATATTTAGACTAGCTTTATTACTAACTTTATGCCTAACTCAATTTTTTCCTTTAATAATGAATTTATTCAATTAAATTCTGATTTTTTGAATCTTTCAATGTACCTGCTTAAAGATGCATTTTTAAATTCTTAAGATTTTTATACTTCTATAAGTGGAGTGGAGTGGTACAGGGTGTATCCAAAAATGTTGGTCCACTTCTTAGATAGTCTAAACTTAAGCTAATACTATATTATAATAGATTACTAGTCCGATATTGAAGTTTTATAGAACATTTTCAAAAACGATTGAAATAATGAGTGTCTTACGTTAAACGGATCACTCCGTATAGTATTCACGTATTTTATTTTTAATGGCGTAATATTGATGTATACCTTTTTAGTTTTTAGTCCTTTACTCTTAAATGTCCCAAAATCGGCTCAATTGACGAACATCGATAGTGCCCTATATACATCACATCGATGTTTCACTTAAATCATTTGATTCTGGATAATTGATATAGGCTATATATTAGATAATAGTGTAGTTACTATTTTTTTTGGACAAAAAAATACGTCATAGGACTGTAATAAATTAATATACAATAGAATATTATACATATGTACATAATATATAGATGTATAATACATCAGAATAATTTGTTTTGGTGTTTTTTCTAGTATCCTAGTGAATGTTCCCCGTCTGCTTTAATATAATATCATGAATTATTATTATTATAATCCTCCTCCAGCTCGAGAGATTTCATACGGACGCACGTGCGGTCGGGGTCACAGAGAGACGCCATCAAGTCTAGCAAGTTATGATTTGGAGTGGGTGGTAAAATACCAATATCGGTTTAGATTAGGTTTTTATTTTATTTTTTCTTACCTGCTCTGTTATCGAACATCTTTAAAACACGTTTGTACGTTATAATTACCCTTGTTATTTTTCTTTTTATCGACATTTTAACGCGACACGATCAAAGATGCGGCGGCATCAACAAAAGGAAACACAATATAATAAACCGCGGACCCGCGTGTTGATCTCTACGGCTCTCACGAATAACGTTCATCAGTATTTTGCTCCGGTGTTTTGCAAGCATTTATTTTTATTAGTTTTACCGTTATATTTTTTGTGCCGAATGCGAATATAGCTGCAGTAGTTTAATATTATGTTTGCGAACAATATCATCGATTTAGATGTAATTGTATTAAAATTATTAAACTAAGTACTATGTCTATAATAGTTACCCATCGTCCTTCAATATATGCCAATTACCTGCAATTACATTTGTATATTATACACTTATTAGTTATTACCCATATAGTTATTTTATTTTATATCGCCAATGTGAATTTTTGATTCTCATCCTCGTCAGTGATACAATAACTGTTATAACCATCGTCTCTACATTTATGGAAGTCGAAATTATATTATACTTTTAACGGTATTCGTCTCAAGCATGAAGCCAAATCGTCATTAAAACACGATTTTCAACCCCCCAACACTATATAGCAGCAGTGGCCCCCATCATAATAAATGATTATATTCAGTTCTGTATAATATTGCGTTTCGATCATGTCCATTACCTAATATAGCTAATATACCGATAAACCGTTTTTATTCCGAAATTGGTGTTCGATAACTACAGCCACACAATCAGTGTAAATAATACTTAAGTATATATTGAATATTATTATATAATGTTATCAACACTCCCACGAATTGAATATTCATTGGATTAGAACAATATCGGTGAATAGTAGTACATTTATATATTATGTATTAGAATACTAGTAGGTAATATTATCTATACAACAGGTGTGAGTAGCTACTTAGTACTATCGAAGTATTACGATACTGCTGCGCTGCAGTTACTGCGCTGGTACCTATTATTATACCGATGAGACATTGCACCTCCATTTGAATTAATTATTTATTTTTGCATTATTTATAGGTAAACTTCAAGTGAAAAACACACACTAGTATAAAATAATATATCGTTACATCGTACACGCATTGGTTTGATTTTTTTAATTTATAATTATTGATCTGAATTATTATGATCGGCGTGTGCCTACAGCCTACGGGTGTATAATATAATTTATTATTGCATTACATACACGGGCATTAGACGCAATATGTATGTATTTACAAACTTAATTGTAATTGACACGCAAATATGCTGTGTGTACGGTACAATAGTGATAAATCATTATCGTAAAAAGTGCAACGGCGGCAAAATGCATTCGAGTACATTATTCCGACTGTATACGACGGTCGTGTCGGTCGCCGGTGTATACATTAAAATAGCGTTTCGTTCCAACACGTTTTACGGCACGTACATAATACATTACGTTTATTATCAAAACGATTACACTGAAATTGGACGGAGTTGGTCTGGATTTCGTTTTAAAAAAAAGGCTAATAATGAATAATAATGATAAACCATCTCGTGGAATTTTAAGTACAATAAAAAACAATACAATCGTAGTATTATACTATGCACTCTAGAATACTATGTATCTATTATAATAATATTATACACTTGTATGATGTACCGTATATTTGAAAAAACCCATATTACTGCATTTTTCCCCAGAAACATCACATCATCTTATTACTGTGGCACACGATATATAGAAAAAGAAATCGAGCTCAAGAGGTATCATTACAATCAGTCCCTAAAATTGTGTGTAGTACGACACACTTAGTGTAGTACGAAAAGTGCAGTGTGTAGTACGAAATTTAAAAGTGTGTTATTCTAATTAAACCTTTATAATAATATTATGTATAATTTTATATCTTCACATTTTTTTTTATATTTTAATGGTTTTTTGCTAAACCACATTTTAATTATTATCTACTATACATAGACTCACAGTAAACAATATTTTGTGTTGTTACGTCTTATACTCTTATTATATAGTTATTATTATTCATTGTTATTAAGCTTAGATCATATATATCTTTATCAGCTAGTCATGAACGGTGGTATATAGTATACTAGTGTTTATCTAGAAATAATTTAGAGTTGACCGATTTGGGATTAGGTATGTGTGTAGTACGAAAATTTGGATATTTTAGGGACTGATTACAATATTATATACTAATATACGCATGCGTCATAATACTCATATCGTTAAAATATAATATGATTGATTAACGAAGACAAACGCTCGTGCAGTCAGTCCCGTGTTGACTGCTAAAATCTATGTGCCAGTGTGACCGGTGTCCGGTTATATAATTGGCATCACTCGTATTTATTACCGAACTGTATAAAAAAAAAAACAAGGAATTATAAAACTTAATACAAATTCACGAACTGCACCGGATGAAAAGCGTTTACAAGCATATCGTCGGCTTCAATAGAAAATGTATAAAATATATATACCATGGCTCATTGAATTTCGTGCACATACCTATCTATGTGTAGAATATTATATTATAATAATAATATATACAATAATAATATAATAGCCATATGTATACCGGCTCCGCCCACGAATTCGTGCACTGCGGTACTTGTATATTTTTCTCACAGACCGCGGTTTTCACAAAGGTATGATAATATGTACATATACTGCATCTATATAATATAGCTAAGTATATAATACGTTCGCGTCGGCGTAAACGGTACTCCCGCGGGGAGACGCTATATGACTGTATATATTTATAATACCACACAAGCACCTACATAATATAATATTATTATTGTTGTTATTATATTATTATATACGTATAGAGGTATATTATATACACCGCAACCGCGTCAGCTGCGGCCGCGGCTGGTCCCGAGAACCCG